TCTTGTATACAGATAATATCTGCCTTTATCTTGGCTAGATATATTTAAATCATTCTCTATTTGTCCTTATTTAGTACAGCCCGTATGCTTAGAGAAGCTATAGTTAACATTTTGGTTTAAAATTTCATTTTACCTTCATTTATCTGATGTTAGCTTATTTCTTTACAGGCTTTCCTCTGTCTTCTCCTCCTCCTATGCTCCCTTCTCCCCATTTTCATATCTGTTGCTTTCCCAAACTCTTCCACTTCTGACTCTTCTAGAAACTTGTCCACCCACTGCTCCTGACTGGTGAAAATCTATTCTGGGTGGTCAGGGCTTTGTAGCGGGGAGAAACTCAAGGAGGAGAGACTACTGGCAAAGGTGCTTGGCTGGGGCTCTGCTTCTTTCCCCTCTACCCTTCACCTTGGTCGTTTGGTTTTTCCTTCTTTCTCCTTCTTTCTCTGTTTTCTAACTTTTTGCCATTCCATCTCATTTTTCTCCTTGTGTGACCCTCCTCCTTCCTCTGAGCTGCTCTCTTCCCTTAGTTCCTTTTTCAGTGATGCAGTGCTCCCTTTCTCTGCATTTTGTTGCTTTTCTTTCTTCCTGGCTTTTAGCTCTCTGTGGGGAGGTAGGGGTTGGGGTGGGAGGGAAGTCCTTGATAAGAGGAGAGAAATGGGTCCTGATGTTTGTGGATAGAACCTGAGGCTGGAGTCTTGTCTTCCCCTTCCCCTTCTGACTTTCCCTAGCGATCATTATCCTCCTCTTCTGATTCTTCTACCTGCTCCTCAGGCTCCGCATCCTCTTCCACAGGTGCCTCTCATTCCCTTTCCTCCTGCTATTTGTTCTCCTCCTTTCTTTGCTGCCTTGCTCTGTTTGCAAAGGACTGGGGGCAAGGGTGGAACACATGCCCTTCTTCCCCACAGTGGCTGCATCACTTTCCCCTTTTATATCTTTTGCCATGTGGCCCTTCTTCCTACATACTGAGCATATGGTATAGCGGCAGACCAAAGCTAAATGTCCCTCTTCACTGCATTTCCTGCACAGCTTTGGTTGGCTTTCGTAAAACACGAACCATCTGTTCACCCCTAGGGCTATTGCTGGTGGGATTAGAATACACATTTTCTGCATACATTCATCCTTCCCTTTCTCCTGTTTTAGATCCAGAGGTGAAATTAGTGCAAATAAATAAACTTATTTATATTAATAATAAGCTTATTGCTCCCAGGTGCTGTGTCTGCATGTGTGCCTGGGATCACAGCACATTGAGCCAGGTTGGAGCAGCTGCAGCTGGCAGTCTGTCAGCCCAGGGCTTCTCCCTTAGCGCAATGTGCTGCAGAAGGGGTGCTTCAGCATGGGGCTAGATGGCAGGCAACCCTTGCACTGAAGCACCCTTATGCCCCAGACAGCTGGGGCTGCATCTACACATGTGTTGCTGTGGAGCTTTTTGCTCCACAGCAGGATAGTACTTGCATTCACATGTACTATCCTACTGTGGAGTTTATTAGTTTGCTGTGGCCTAATAGTCCTGCACATGCAGACATGCAGACGTGAGACCTTTACTGCACAGCTAATTAGTCAACTGTGAAGTAAACGTCTCATGTAGATGCGTCCACTACCTATAAAAGTGATCCCAGTATTGTTCACGTTCACTTTTCTTCCCATGTAAGAAACTTCTTCTTTCAGATGAATTCCCAGAAATTCTGTGATATTGTTAGTGATAAATATAAAGGGAGCCCTTCTGCATACCAGATCGTATCTTTTTACATCTAATTGCATCTTCATTTGTCTCTGATTTCTACTTCATTGCTTGATGTTTTGACACCATTTCTATCCCAGAAGAATTTCTTTCTTTTTTACGGAATCCCAACTCACTTTTAAATCCATTTCAAAGTTTTAAGAATATGCTTTCAATCCTCCTCCTTGGTTCTGTAAATGTTTGTAACAAACTGTCTCTATCCATATAAATTCATTCACTTCTGGGGTTTGTTTCAAAACTAAAACTAAGCCGTGGCTCATTGTGAAAGTCCATGCATGAATCTGAGCTAATATACTAAGAACTTGGGGGGAGGGTTATTTTCATTAGTCAGATGGATTTGTGCTTTATCAAGTTTTCGTCTAAAAAAAGAGGTGAAATATATTTGACCTAGTTTCACATTCAGATTTGGGATCTTTAAACCTGCAAGTCAGAACGGAAGTCTTGAGGTAAAAACTCAAGTTGACCAAAGCTGACAGAAAGCTTGCATTTTCCACTAACCCCCTCTTTGGTTTACATGGATCTGCCTAGATCACCTCTAATATAATAAATATTCTTTCCTTGTCCACTAGAGCTGAACTTGTCATTTGGAGAAAAAGAGATTAATAAGGGAACATGGTAGCAGTGTTCAAATATTTGAAAGGTTGCTGTGAAGAAGAGGGAGAACAGCTGTTTTCCCTTACCATGAAATTAGGGGTTTAAACTGTAGCAAAGCAGAAACGTCTTAGGTGTAAGAACAGTAGGACAGTGGAACAAGTTGCTCAGGGAAGTTGTGGGGTCTCCTTCACTGTAGGGTTCAAGAAGAGACTGGATAAGTGTTTGTCTGGGGTGGCTTAGGAATAGCATATCCTGCAGTGCTTTGGACTAGATGGCCCATGAGATCCATTCATACTTTATGATTCTGTGAGTCTCAGACTTTTCCAGGGTGTGGAATAAAGAAATGATTCTGTAGTCATCTCCTACCCATTTATAATCAGTTAGGCCCTTTTCCCCTTGTGAGATTGCAGCACATCTCTGGCTTACTCTACAAAGGTGAGGCAGAGACCATCTCTCTTGCCCAGGTCTACCAGGTGTCTGCCTCTATTTCCCTTCATCCTTACCTGCCACGCCTTGTTAAGAAAATTAAAGGGAGGTTATATGTTAAGAAGAGCAAAGAACCACCTGGTGGAAGCCTATCCTCTTTGCAGGGATCCTCCCACCCCTATACCCTGCTTCTTACTACTCCTGGCTGGGTAGTCAAATCTGTGGCCTTATCTTGGGGATGCTGTACTCCTTGGACAGTAACTGTCAGTTGGTTCCTTCTGATCCAGTTGCTGTTCATGTACTTGGAGATGCTCACTTTTGTATTCTCCTTTATAGGTTCCCAGCCTGATGTCTCCTTTCAAGCCTTTCCTG